AAAACTATCCCCAACAAAGAGCATTTCCAATGAGCCACAGTTTTCCTAATTTGGAAACTAATCCCTAGCCCTAAATCTAAATTTAGAGTATTATTATTAAATTACTTACTAATAAGCCCAAGTGTGAGGAAGTGGGAAAAATAGCCAAGGTGGGCTGGATGCTGTGATGCATTTCTGCCCCAGGGACATTGCTGTGATACATTTCTGTATCCAGGGACAGTCATTCACAGGCTCTCAGAACCCTCAGGAGATGGCTCTGGGAAAACTCGAGCCTAGGCTTCAGTCTAACCTCAGAGGTGTCAAACCAAAAACAGCCAAGTCACTGCTGTCAAGTCGACCTGACCCCCATTGGGTTTCCAAGGCTGTAAATCTTTATGGTAGTAGATTGCTCCATCGTCTTACCCAGAGCAGCTGTTGGGTTTGAATCACTGACCTTCCGGTTAGCAGCCAAATGCATTATCCACTATGCTCCCAGAGCTCCAGAGGTGTCAAAGACAGTTAAAACCAGCCAAGCTGGAGCCAGAGATTTAGGAAATTAAAATATCTTGGGAAAATTATGTAAATGACAGTGTGTGAGTCACACAATAAAAGAGACAGAAGGAATCTTTTGCCAGTTCAACTCTCCCCTCAGAGCAATGACTAGGCACCTTTATTCTAAGTCTTGCCATCCTTTTATATATAGGTTGCAATCCAGTGGCTTTCAGGCCAGATTTCTGCTTTCTCTGGAAAAATTGGAGGACCTAGTAAAAATGGGTTCACAGTCCCATGTGATATCAAATGGCCAAAGGTGAGCAGAGGCTGTCCCTTGAGATGGACCATGTGCCACTAGTTTGCCACAGACCCCACTACTCCCTATTGCTATAGTCAAGGTATTTCATTAATTTACCTGCCTAGCATGCTCTCTCTCTCTCTCTCTTTTTCCTTCTAAATTTTATTTATTTTGTTGTTGTTGAGAATATACACAGTAAAACATACACTAATTCATCAGTTTCCACATGCACAATTCAGTGACATTGATTACATTCTATTAATTGTGCATCCATTCTCACCCTCCTTTTCTGAGTTGTTCCTCCCTCATTACCATAAAGTCACTGTCCCCTAAGTTTCCTATCGAATCTTTCAAATTACATATTGTCAATTTGATCCCATATAGATAGTTCTTAAAAGAGCATAATGCTCAAGGCAGTTTTTTTTTTTTTTTTCCTAAACTATTGTCCAGTTTTAAGATTATGTCACAGGGTATTTTTGATTTAAGGTTTAAAGATGACCTCAGGGCAATAGTTTCAGGTGTTCATCCACCCTCCATGGCTCCAGAAAATCGAGAGTCCATGAAAATTTGACATTCTGTTCTGCATTTCTCCCTCTTTTGATCAGAATTCTTTTATAGAAAACATTTTATACAAAATGTTCAGTAACGGTAGCCAGGACCATCTAGTTCTTCTGGTCTCATGGTGAAAGAGGCAGTGGTTCATGGAGGCAATTAGCTACACATTCCATATCTTCCTTTTATTCCTGACTCTCCTACCTCTGTGGCACCAGGTGAAAAAAGAGCAATTGTGCCTTGGATGGCTGCTTGTAAGCTTTTAAGACCCCAGACACTACACAATGAACAAGGAGACAGATGGAGGTAATAAACATGCTATTAGGCCAGTTACTCAGTTGGGCAACCCTACCCTTAATCAATGTAATTTTTCCATCACTGTTAACATTCCTTTTCTCCTTCTCTCCCACCTCTGGTGTCTATACATTTGCCTTTTCTTGTCTTTTTATATAAGTGTCCTTTTGTGACTGAGTTTTTTCACTCATCATAATGTCTTCAAGCTCCATCTGTCAAGACTTCATTTCTCCTACTGGTTGAGTAGTAGTCCACTGTATGTATGTGCCATATATGTGTGTATTATCCATTCATCTGTTGATGGGCATTTACATTGTTTCCACCTTTTGGCTATTGTGAATAGTGCTGCAATGAATATTGGGGTAAGTCTCTTAATCTCTTGAGTCTCTGCTTTCAAGTCGTTTGGGTATATATGTAGGAGTGGAATTGCTGGGTTGTATAGGAGCTCTGGTAGCGTAGTGCCTAAGGCACTTGACTGCTAACCAGAAGGCTGGCGGTTCAAACCCACCAGCCACTCCTCAGAAGGAAGGTTGGGCTATCTACTTCCGTAGTGATACCCCCTCAGAAACTCCAGGGGGGGTCACTATGAGTCAGGTCCAACTTGACGGCACATAACAACAACAACAACAACAAGCTGCTCCGCAGGAGAAATATGTGGCAGTCTGCTTTTGTAAAAATTTACAGCCTTGGAAACCCTGTGGGGCAGTTCTACTCTGTCCTGTAGGGTCCTAATGAGTTGGAATTGACTCACTGGCAGTGGGCTTGGTTTTGGGTTTTTTTTTTTTTTTTTTTTGGTCAGAGAGTTCTATTTTTAGTTTTTTTGAAGAACCATCACACTGTTTCCACAATGCCTGTAACATTTTGCATTCCCACCAGGAACAGGTGTTGACTAATGACATTGAGCATCTTTTCATGTGTTTGGTAGCCATTCGAATGTCTTCTTAGGTGCAATTTCTATTCAAGTCCTTTGCCCATTTTCTGATTGGGTCTTTTTGTCTTTTTAGTGTTAAGTTGTTGAAGTTTTATATATATTGTGTTATTATATTTTTTTTAGGATATATGGTTTCCTAAGTATTATCCCAGTCTATAGCTTATCTTTTCACTTTTTTGGTAACTTTTGATTAACAAAAGTTTTTCATTTTTGTGAGATCCCATTTATTTATTTATTTATTTTGCTGTTTGTGCTTTTGTTATTATATTAGGTAATCCATTGTTGAAAGCTAGGTCTGAAAGCATTGTCCCTGCTTTTCTTCTAAGAATTTTATGGTTTTAGTGTATACATTTAGGTCCTTAATACATTTTTAATTTGTTTTTGTGTATAGTGTGAAGCATAGACCCTGTTTAATTTTTCTGCCTGTGGAAATCCAGTTTTCCCAGGACCATTTATTGAAGAGATTTTTGCCTATCAAATGGACTTAGTACTCTTGTCACCATACATGTGTGGGTCTGGAAGTCTGTCTCTCTTTTAATAAAAAATATTGTAATGTCTCTCTCTACAACATGTCTTAGATCCTCCTGAAACTGTTACTGTACCTAATAAATAATTTTTTGAGTAAAAGGAATTTGTAATAGCCTGACAAAGGCTAGAGCATAGGCATTTAGATCTCCATCTTTAGTAAAATTGTTGCTAATTTAAAAGACATCATTATTTTAAAAGTATGTAATGAAAGATTAGACAATATCTGTACAAGTTATGTGTTAGGCAAGTGAAAGATATTTCCACTGTTTGTTTAGTTTACTTAATGTCCCAAAACTCATTCAACTGAATTTAAATGAGTACTTGATTTTTTTGGGCAAAATTACTGGGATTAGCTGGAGCTTTTGCATTGTTAACTGTCATGAGACATGTTGGTCACAGTTGCTCAGATGGGTGGGAATGGAGAGATGAGAGCTGTTGTTGCTGCCTCCTCTGCCTCCATACTTCTGTATGCCATTCATAATTGCATGGAAGAGGCTGGAGACATTTGCTACCAAAATTAATTACCTACAGTGCATCAGAAGCTGCAATTATCTTGCTAATCAGTTTTTCACTAATAAGCAACTTAAGGCACAGTCAATTAATTTTAGAGCATAGCTTCTTACAACATTTGCAGATGTGTTCTGGTAACCTTGAGGTTAAACAGAGAATCATGTAGAAACCAGACATATAATATCAGTGTAAACAAACTTTCCTATCTTAGCACTTACCATTAGTTCTAGCATAAGATTTTTGGAGAAAAACAGAAATAAGTTCACCCAATTAAAAAAATGGGCCAAAGAATATGAATTCACAGAAGAAGAGATAATGTAGCCAATAACCATATGAGAAAAGGTTCAACATCATTATTCAGTAGGAAAATGCAAATTAAAACACTTAGATACACAGTACATGTTGTTGAGGATGTGGAGTAACTGGAACTCTCAAACACTGCTGATGGGAGTGTCAGTTGGTTCCAGCACTTTGGAAAACGTTCAGTATCTACTAAAATTAAAAAGACATCTATCCAGTGATCTAGCAATTCTGCTCCTAGGAATATATCCAAGAGAAATGAGTGCACATGTTCAAGTATATTGCTGAAAAAATATATAAGAATGTTTATAGCAACCTTATTCATAACAGCCCAAAACTGGAAATAAGTAAATATCCAACAATTATAGAATAAATAGATGATGGTATAGGCATGCTGTGGGATATTCCACACCAATAAAAAAGAAATAGCAATCATAAGGAGAAACCTCAAAAACAGTGTTAAATGAAAGAAGTCAGACATGAACAAATTTATGCTATGAGATTCTACTTACATGAAACTCAACAACAGGAGAAATTAATCAGTGTGAAAGAAGATAGGATAGTAGTTATCAAGGAGGGTGAGAGACATTGAGAAGGAACACGAGAGAACTTTCTGGGGCCCTGAAATTGTTCCATATCTTTAGATGGATGATAGTTACATGGGTGTACATAGAATGTAAACAAACATTAATTAAAGTTTACAATTTACTCTGTAAATTATACCTTAATAGAAAAAGAAAAAAGTAGAAATAAAAAAAAAAAAGATCAGTTCAGCTGATCAATACTGATTGGAGAAAATCTAGCCTCATGCCTTTTTCCAGCCTCCTAATTCATCTTCTTGGCATTAGTTCTAGTGGCCCAGACTGCTGCCAGCCCAGTGGCTAACTTCAGGGCACCATGTACTCATGAACTTCATTATCTCATTTTACAGATGAGAAAACAGGCTGAAAGAGGGGAGGTAACATATTTAAGGATATACAACTGGTAATTGGAGGAACTGGTCTGAAAATAAGCCACTGAGTTCAGAGCCTAATTCCCTAACTCCCACCCTATGCCTTGCCCCACAAGGAACCAACAGATATTTGTTTAATGATGTAATAATAAAGATACCCTTACCTCTTTGGCTTCATTTTGTGCTTTCATATTTTCAGCAATATATTTGACACTTTCAATAGCTTCTCTGATTTCTGGCGACAAAGCAGAGAGGGAGAGCACAGCGTCAACAGACTCAGAGCTGGAACTTCTCGTGAGGTTGGCACTGAAATTTGAGATTTTTATCCTGCGGTGCTGGCAGAAACCACACATCCCATCCTGGCAGGGATAGCCTTCCTTACAGCCTTTGGATTCTATGCGGCTGAAGCAATTCATATTTGACAGTTCAGCGCTGTAGAAGGGTCTTGGTTTCTGAGTACTACCCTCGTTGCCCGCTGGCCTGGTCATGAACATTATCCTAGGAAGCAAGTTCAAGAATATGGTCTTCACCCACATGGGCATCGTGTGTGTGGTTGGGGTTCTGTAGTGCACGTTGAGTACAAAGACGGTGATGACGATGGACAAGGTTACAAAAATCATGGTGAACAGGAGGTACTCGCCAATCAGGGGAATGACCAGAGAGGTGGATGGGATTGTCTCAGTGATCACTAGGAGAAACACGGTCAAGGAGAGCAGAACTGAGATGCAGAGTGTCACCTTCTCCCCACAGTCAGAGGGCAGGTAGAAGACGAGCACGGTCAGGAAGGAGATGAGCAGGCAGGGGATGATGAGGTTGATGGTGTAGAACAGGGGCAGGCGCCGGATGTACAGAGAGTATGTGATGTCTGGGTAGATCTCTTCACAGCAGTTGTACTTGATGTCATGTTTGTAGCCAGGGGCTTTGATGATGGCCCACTCGCCACTCTCCCAATAGTCTTTAAGGTTCATGGAGGAGCCAATCAGGACCAGGTCGATTTTTGCTTTGTCATAGGACCAGGAACCAAATTTCATGGTGCAGTTTTGGTAATCAAAGGGAAAGTAGGTCACATCAATTTTGCATGAGCTTTTAAAAATGGCTGGAGGTATCCAAGTCACTTCTCCTGTGTACTTGAGTAAGGCTTTGGTTTTGTCATCCACCTGGAAATCCCCAACAGCACTGCAAAGACAAGAGGCAGGGCACCACAGTGTTATTCAGTCCAACTTCTCATACCTCCATCACTGGGTAGATGACAAGTAACTATTAGTAAAATTATGGAATATGAGAGCTAAAAGTTGCAAAAGGCCATCTAGCTCACTACCCCATTTAACTGATGGGGATACTGAGGCTCAGAAAGGAGAATGGGCTGCTGAGCTGGCAGAGTTGAAACAGACAGACCTACCCAATGCCAACAATCTGATGTATATTACCTGACATACTCATCACCCTCTGGGAGACTCACTAGTTCATTTCTCAGTAGTACAACTCTCAACTTGATATTTATTGAGACACTCCCAAACACAAGAAGGGCATTCCCCTCCCCCTTAATTAAAGAAATAGCAAGTCAGTTTTGTTTGCACTGGGTGCCCAATGTGTGTAAGCATACGTGTATGAAATCAAATTGTGAGAGGGAAGGGATTGCAGAGACCACCTATGGGAATCCACCCACTGCCACTGAGTCACTTCTGACTCATAGCAATCCCGAGTGGGTTTCTAAAGCTGTAAATCTTTATGGAAGTAGACTGCCTCATCTTCCTTCCAAGGAGCAGCTGGTGGGTTGGGCCACTGACCTTCTGGTTAACAACCAAAATGTCTTACCTACTATGTCACTAGAGCTCACATCCATTAAGTTGAACCTTGGGAGGAGCCCTGGTGGTACAATGGCTAAAGCACTGGGCTATTAAGCAAAAGGTTAGTGATTCAAACCCATCTCTGGTTATTTGCTCTGTAAAGATTACAGTCAGAAAAAAAAAAAAAAATCCTTAAATTGAATCTTGGTAAATGAGATTTATTACCAAACCCTATCCTTGAATCCTGACTATTCATCACACTCCTCATTTCTCTCAGCACTGTCTTAGAATGACTAACCAGGTTTTCTGATTCCATCTTTCAAATTCAGTATAATAGGTTATTTCACCTTCTGTTTCCCTAACTTTCTCCTCTTGATTCTTCTCCTTGTTCTCATCTGTTGATGAGCATTTAGGCTATCTCCTTCTTTTGTGAATAGTGCTGCAGTGAGCATTGGTATACCTATTGGATTTCTTAGAGTTCTGCATTTGAAGGCATTCATGTTCTTCAAAAGAGAACAACCACCATACCCCTTTTCTTTGTACCTAAAGAGCTGGAAATACATACATATATATATATATATTTAATACAAAACTTAAACATTTAGGAATATCCTGTGTTGACATCATTACTTGATAACATGTGAAAACACACCTGTGGCTTCCAGCCAAACAAAAGACAGGCATATGAGTTGAACGTTTACCTGAGGGAGATACACTCCTTGGACATAACAATCATGGGGAAAAGAAGGGCGGTTTATGTATAGGGAGACAGCTCGGGCAGAAGTGCATGGAGGGATGGACACAGGCAAGAGGTAACTATACTATCAGGAGAAAATGGGAGGGGAGCTATTGCATTAGGGTAAATTGTAGTCAATGTCATGAGAAAGAGTTCTACATGTAATACATGTGCTTCCTTAATGCAGTCTAATGTAATCAATCAGTTGAGGTCATACCAGTTAGGATGGATGCTAAACCTAATCATATCAGAATTATAAAAAGAACAGACTAGTAAAAAAAAAAAATTAAAAAGGAGTGAGAGAGGATAGACAAAGACACACACATGGCGATGACAGATGCCATATAAGGATCATCTATAAGCCAAGGAACCAAGGAATATCTGGGGCTTGGCAAGGAAGAAATAAACATGGCTGAGGACTTGAACGGCTCGGTAACTAAGGGAAGAGAAAGAGGCGCTCTGATTCTTAAGACCCAGACATGGTATCAAAAGAAATACACTGTAAAAAGAGGACCCCATTCTGTATTGAACCCTCATAGTAAATAAATCTGAAAGTAACCAGTGAAATAGAAAGCTTCCACAGATCCCAATTTGTGGGAGAGAGCCTCCAGAACTGTGAGAAAACAAGTGTGTTCTGTGAAGCCACCTGCTTGTAGTATTTCTGTTACGGCAGCACTAGGAAACTAAGACACTTGCTGGTGCTCATTCCTGGTCATCAGTAGGGATCCTGGTCACTGTGGCTGCTATTCATGGATTGTCTGCCCAGACCAGCAGGCACATTTGCTGACTGAGGCAGTGCTAACAGCCATACCTCTGCCAGCACAGAGAGAAAATGAAGAGCCAGCTAGAAACATCAGTAAATACTTGTTGGGCGAATGAATAGATGATCTTGAGATAAATTAAGATCCTACCCCCAAAGGGAGCCCAAGACATAGCTGATAGCAAGGGACCAGGTTGGTTTGGTGGGAGGGGTCTAAGCCAATGTGCTACCAAACCATGTGAAATGATTTTTATTAAAATGAAGAAGGCAGCAATGGTTAGCTGAGGTATCACTTTAATACAAGGGAAGATCACCAGGAACTTAGAAGGTTTGCTTCTAAAAGTTGGGGAGTGGTAGGGGAAAGATGATGCAGTTTCTTCCAATTCCCTCAGAAAAACAGGGCAGCTAGGATAGCAAAAGAAAAAGAAGCCTTCTGACAAGATCAGCAAAGTTAGGTTACAAGGTGTTCTGTGAACCTCAAATATGAGAGTGTGGGGTCAAACTGCCAACATCAGCAGCCTGCACGGGATCTGCATGGGACCATTCTGGGGTTAGCTTACTAGATAGGCAAAGGAAGAAAAGGGGGAGCTCTCACGTCCCAAGAGCCCCAGGCATGCAATCACCAAGGAATAGCCACCCCTCAAAAAGGACTCGCTCTGCATGGAATGCTCAGCAAGTGGATCTGAAAGGAACCAGTGAAACAGATGCTCCATAGGTTCTGAGTTGTGGGCAAGTACAAAAAAGACTGTAGGAAAGTACTAAGGGTCTGCAGAGAAGTTAATCAGTGTCCTGTCAGACTCTCAACGACCTCAGAAGTACTACCAAATACTCCCTTCCAAAAGGACAGAGACCCACCCACAGAAAATGCTGCTTGGGATAGACTCCAAATGGAACAAGGCAAGAAACTGGGGGGTAAGAGAGAAAGAAGGTACAGAGACTAGAGAAGTAGGCATCCAGAGGTGGCAGCTCTCAGACTGTGGCTACAAAGGCCAGGTTTTTAATGCTTCCAGGTAACAATTCAAGGAGGGAACTCTTGAACAAGTGAAACAAGGAGAGCTACCTTTATATACACCAAGTTCCTATAGGTTTGCTTCTAAAAGTACAGAAAAGGCCATCTGCTTAAATAAGAGTAACAGAAAAAAACTGGATTGAATTCCATATAAACATACCATAAGAAAAGTATATAAATGAGTAACTGAATAACATCAGCAGATAAAGGCGTATCAGAAAAAAAAAAAAAAAAAATCTAACCACAAAGCAGACAAAAGCTATAATCTGATATTATAAATTAAGATATTAAAAAAACATAGAAAACATTTACACCAGGTAGGTACACTCCTTAGAACAATCAACCATTGGAGATCAGAAGGGTAGCATTTGCACAGGGAGATAGCTCAGAGGGCAGGAATGCGTAGGAAAGAAGGATATAGGGAGAAGGTAACCACAGGGAGGAAGTGAGAAGAGAGCTGTTACATTATGGGGACTGCAATCAATGACATGAAACAAAATGTGTATGAACTGTTGAATGGAAAACGAATTTGCTCTGTAAACTTTCACCCAAATCACAATTAAAAAACAAAACTATAGAAACTATGAAAACGTAGAATAAATCAGAAAAGTTATATATAATTTGGTGTGGTAGTTACATTTGTGTGTCAACTTGGCTGGGCCTGGTTGAGTGGTTGGGAAGCTGGTGGTAGTTATTCCCCCATGATGAGACTGGCAATCAACTCCACGGTGGGATCTACCACAAGCAGCTGAGTAGCTGCCTTTGGGATGTGGTCTGCTTTCTGTATTTAAGGAGAAGCCTTGGGAATGGTCTCTAGCCTATGGCATGCTTGGACCCTGCATGTAGCCATGTCTTTGTTGAGCAGCCTGCTATGCTCTGCTGACCTTGGAACTTACAATGGACTTAAGTTAATGGCCTGCCGTTTGGTTTGGTAACATCGAAACTATGCCTTTTCACTTGTCAATCCTGGGGCTTTTCAGCCTCAGCAGCCAGTATCTGTCTCAGTGAAGAAATGCCTCTAGATCCAGTGGGCTGGGAGCAGGAGGCAGAGTTGGACCCTAAGGTTAAGGGGCTTTCACCCAGCCCCTAGAGCCTGGCACTTTGAACTTAGACTTAAAGCCTCCAAATTGTAAGAAGAAACTCCTGTTTGTTAAGACCATCCCATTTGTGGTATATTCTTGTCAGAGTGGCACTAGATAACTAGAACATTTGGCTAAACAACAGGAGAATATGTAAAGAATATTGATGGAGCTTAGGGAAGAATTAGGAAAAAGGAGAAATCATCTTAGAAATAAAGACTAAATGAGATAAACATAAGTACAAGTAAAAACTATGGAAAAATAATTATAGCAATCCCAAAACAAAACAAAAAACCAAACTGCCATCAAGTTGATTGTGACTCATAGTAACCCCCATTGGTTTCTGATGCAGTAAATCTTTATGGCAGTAGATTGCCTCATCTTTCTTCCATGGAGTGGCTAGTGAGTTTGAACCACCAACCTCTGGTTAGCGGTCAAATGACTTAGGCACTGTGCCACCAGAGCTCCTTAATAATAGCAATAGAAGACAGAACAGAGAAAAAAAAAAATCAAACAGAAACAAAAAGAATTTAAGAAAAATGATATATGAGGAATATAGGCAAAGAAGTTCCAATATATATAAAACTGGAGTTCCTGCAGAAAAAAAAGTCAAAGCAATGGACAAGAACAAATACTAAGATTTAATTTAAAAAAAAAAATCTTTTCTGGAATAAAAGGCAGCTTATTATAATATTATGGTACATGTAAAGCAACTAGACTTTCAAGGCAAAGGAAATAAATCCTCTGAGTATCCAAGCAAAAATAACAATCTACTTATAAATAAGTACAATTTACAATTATAAAT